ATGGACCTTTGGTCAGACCCAGTCTGGCCGCTCTTATGTTTTTAACGGAGACGCACGCAAAGCTCTGCACTCAGATGAAAAAACATATCCTAATAATGGCTCTAACGCCTGCAGTACCACCCAGGAGCGCTTACTGTTAGGCGCCACTGCTGCCTTGGGCGGAGGCACCAAGCTCTTCTTGAGACCCGGACTGGAAACTCACTGGAGCAAGGGCTGCATCTTCCTGGGTGTTTGTGCAGCGCCCAGCACAACGGGGCCACGGTCAGGCAGGGGCACAACCCCCATAACAAAGAGAAGGTGAAAGGGGAGGGGGGCCAGGAGTTCCTCACCCTTTCGGGGCCCAGGAGCAGCAGTGGGGCTTGCGGAGTTTCCCCTGAGGAAAGGGGGTCACTGGAGGAGGGGGGGAGGAATCCTCCTGTGGGAAGGGGGTCCCTGTGGGGGAGGGAGTCACTGGAGGGAAGGGGTCCCTGTGGGGGGATCTCCCCAGGTGAAGGGGTCTTCCCTGGGAAATGGGGGTCTCTGAGGGGAGGGGGTCCCTGGGGTGAAGGGGAGGCCTTGGGGGGAATAGGGGTCTCTGAGGGGAGGGGGGGTCCCTGAGGGGGGTATCCCCAGGTGAAGGGAGTCTAACGGGAGGGGGCCCCTGGGGGGGAGGGGCGCACGCGGGGTTAACCTCTCAGGGAGCAGGTTTCGCGTCAGAGGGGGACACTTTGGGGGCGCAAGGCCCGGGAGACCCCGTGTCTGTGTGACTCGCCCGAATTCGCTAGGCCCGCCCGAGCCCGCCTCAGCCAACTAGAAAATGCCGCGGCGCGCATGCGCCAAGCTCCTCTGGCCTCACACCGGAAATAACCGAATAGGAAGGAGATTCCCGAGCGGAGCCGGAAGTAGCCGAGTTGATGACGGAGATACCCGAGCGAAGCCGGAAATACCCGAGTGATTACGGAGACGCCAGGCGGCGGCGGGGGCTGAGCCGAGGCGCGCGACCCGAGCTGTGACGTCCCAGCGGCGGGAGGCGGTCCCTAATCCCGCTCGGCGCTCGGCTCTCCAGCCTCCTTCTGACTCCTCCCCCCCGCTCTCTGGGCTCGGCTGGCCGGGCCTGGCCTTTCCCAGCACCCCTCGCGGCGGAGCGGGCCGCCTCCTCCCGCGATTGTTGCACCGTCACCGCGAGCGGCGCGAGCTCCGGGCCCGGCTTCCCCCCCCACCCGCCCGCGCCATGAAGCAGGAGGGCGCGTCCCGCCGCCGCCCCGGCGCCGACAAGGCCAAGCCGCCGCCCGAGGAGCCGCCGCCCGGGCCCCCGGACGTGGAGATGCAGGAGGAGGCGGCGGACGGGGCCGGCGGCGCCGCCGGGGAGAAGCCGCCGCCGCAGCGCGAGCTCGACGCTGTCACGCTGGAGGGTGAGGGGGGGGCAGACCCCGAGGGGGGCAGAGGGGAACGGGGGGGGGGACCCGGGGGGGGGGGGGGCAGAGGGGAACGGGAGGGCGGGAGACCCGGGTGGGACCCAGCAGGGCTGGACCTCGGTGCCCACCAAATCACAGGGGCTGTTTCCCTCTGCAAGGCCAAAGCCAGCCCTGGTCTCTTCCCTATGGGCCCCTCCCCACTGCTCTGTGAATTGCCCCGTTTCTCTGAGTCCCAGGGGAAGCCTTTGTAGGGAGAGGGATATTTGGGGGGTGATGGTTCGGTTGGGAAATGGCATCAGTATGGCCAAAGTCCCCGTCGCCGCACACCCGAGCACCTGGCC